GCTTGCTTAAGACATGGATTGTTTTCCCCTCCAGCAAGCCATACCACCCAGGTCTGCATGACAAGTTGTGCCCAGGCAGTGATTATAGAAATTGTGCCCCACAAATGTTAAACTTAACATTTAAATAAGTTACATTTTGAAGCTGTGAATGCTACTGTGTGTAAGGTGCAATTTCCATAATAATTGCCCAACACAGTTTGTTAGGTTGTCCAAACATGGGAGGTGTGGATTGTTGAAAAAAGAAAGGACTCTACAGTAACCCATAGATTTGTTTCCCTTGCCCACAACCCATGCTGCCCAGAATCACATGGACAACAAGCTGCCCCAAGGCAGCGATTGTGGAAATTGTGCTGCACACATGCCTGACATGCATTGCAATTGATATAAGTCATTGCAGTTTATTTTTTCATGCACATTAGATCTTTTTTGCATAGTAAATACAATATCATGCATGCTTTTCAGTTTTAGTAAGTTTTTAGTTCTTTGTGAAAATGTACATTGGCATAATGAATAATTCTGTTGATGTTAGCAATTTTGTTTTGTGTAATGGGCTTTATGTTTATCTAGCTTCCTAATTGCCTTTGTTTCTTATTGTGGGTACAACTTGTATAGATCAATAGTTGTACAGCAAATTGTGGTTGACTTCCGTACCTTTTGTGGGATGACAGTTCTGGGTTGCAGGGAGTCAGGTGCTTGAGGGTTAAGAATGACTTTCTTGACAAGAATGACATTCTTGCTTACTGTGGTTTGAGAACTAATCATTTTTAAAACAAACTCATTAGTATTCTCCATCTTACTTGTTGTAATCTGAGTTCCAGTAGTCTTTGTCATGCCTAAATATAAAAGTTATAATTTGAAGTACAGTATAAATAAACTGCAAAATTTACAAAAGGAAAAAACACAGTTTTTAAAGAAAACTCTTAATGAAACTGCTTTCATGCATTGAGTAGATTTTATCACTATTAAAGTTTGAAATAATGTGATATTCTGACTGACTGCATATAGGGAATAAAATCTGGGCTTAATAAACTAGAATTTAAACAAGCTTTACATACCCTCACTCAGCCCCTTTACTGCTAAGCTCCTCCCTTCACATTAGCAAGCAAAGAAGCCAATAATCCTCTTCCTGTTACGTGTGAACTAGAAACTATGGTTAAAAGCTTCCTAATATGCCAGGTTTTGGAAACTGTGTTCATATATAACAAGGTATAGTTAACTGTGGTTATGGTTTCTTTGATTTTTCATGAAAAGAGTGAAGTGTCTGCAAAAGAGCTGTGGGGATTTCTTATATATCATAACATTAAAGCTGGATTTTATAATCTGAGGCTACAAATCTGCAGATGACAGATAAAACATTGTTATTTGCTATTATTAGAGTGAATGTAAATATGAAGCTGAATAAAGAAGCTTCAGAAATAGGTTCCAAATCTATTAAGCAGATTACCAACCTTTCATCAGGAGCACACAAATTGGTATTTTTTTTACTGTTGTTGAGAAACTGAGTAAAAAAGGAGTAAATTTAGGCTTATGCAGTTGGGCAATTAGTTAGATGCATTTTCCTTCCTCATCTGCCCATCCTTGTGTGGCGGGGATGCTGGTGACTGTTACAGCTTGACAGAGCTATATGCTAAGTACACTCACTGGGTTGTATCTAATATTTGGAATAGATCCATTTAAATTAATGACAGTTAAGTTAGTCATGAGAAATTTATATGAAGTTCAACTTTTGGGTTACAAGCTTTAAGTTTAGAGAATAAGATAAAAAGGAACCCATGTTCTTCCTCATATTCAAGAAAGAGTTTAGGGATTCTGTGTAGGCCATAATATTGCATGAGTTCTCCACCTTGCCCAAATTCTTCCAGCCCTTTTTTCTATGCCTGGCATTAGATCACCAACCCAGACGGCTATGCTCTGTTCACTTGGCCAGCTTGGCTTAAGCTGTGTTCACAATGGAATTTGGAACATCAGAATAATTCATTAACCCAGGTTGATAATACACGTGATCATGACGTGTATAGGTAGACTGTAGAATGAGTACTGATATTAGAAAAGGAATTAGCTGGAAGGGTGAAAAGAAGCATGGTATCTCACCCATAGTTCCTACATCTAGGTTATTTCTTAAATGGTTAGCAGTAAAGATTGGTTACTCAACAGAAAGTGAATGTTTTATTGCTATTTAGAAACATAGAAACAGAGTAAGTCAGAAGGGACCCCTGGTTCCAGCCGGCTCCGCTCATGACATGCCTACCATGTTTAGTGAAGTTACTGCATGTTCCTTTAACAACTGTAAGGGTGTCTGAATTTAGAGCTTGCATCAAAATGCTGCAAGGAAAAAACCCATATAAATAACTTCCCAATAAAAATACCAATTGAAAAGGTTTTTATAAACATCTTATTGGATATACATGCTTCTAATAGGAGTTTCAGAGTACAGATATATTTATTTTGTGAAGGAAAGAGACTGGGATTAATAGCAGAGTCATACCAAAATTCTAAAGTTCCTGATTTACACTAATACTCTTGAATAGCAAAGCTGTTGTTAATCTATAAAATTTTACTGGTTTACATCATTGGAAACTTATTTCAGTTTATGAACTCAAGTTTATAGCCTGATATTTTGTACTGTACAATTTTGCTACAGAATATTGATAACATTTGGGTATAGCTTTCAGTGGAAATCAGTAAGTCTAAATTCACTCATTTATTTATGTTGAAATAGTTTTAAAGAGCAAGTATGTATGTCAACTCCTGGTAAGCTTTGGAGACTTTCTACATAATGAGTTTTTAAATTTGTTGTACTGACAGTCTTTTAAAAAAATGTGTTTACTATCTCAGATGGAAGCTGCTTTAGGCATATAGAATATTATGGTTCCCACAAAGAAGTATTTTTCCCTGTTTAGTATTCCTTTAGAATTGGTAGAGATACTTGATACCAGTAGAATACTGTGTTGCTAGAATAAATTCGTACATGCAGTCTTGCAGCTGTCATTTTACTCCTCTGAAAGTGAGAGATTCTACAGGTGCAGTAGTAATTTATTTGTCTTTTGGTTGATCCTTATGGATGCCTAATTTGCACCATATTACTAAAACCACTTTTTAAAGGGCTAAGGATTTGATTGTTGATTGGAATAATACTATTATTGAATGCTTAAAATTATAGTGAATAAATCTCTCCCACTTCTGTGTTTAATCACATATAGCCTAGATATTGTTAAAGACAGTAAATGAGTGGAAAGGAAGATTGCTTTATTGTCACAGAGATCCTTTTAATCAAAATAATGCTTGTTGTAAGAGTGACCTTATGACAGCTGCATACTGTTTGTATTCTGAAATTCATTATCCATATGTCTACATTTGAGATGACTTAAGTGTGTATCTTTGCAAATAGTTTTAAGTTCTTTGGACATTTATGTGAATTTCTTATCATTACTTTGTAGTTACTGAACTTTTACACTTTTATCCTAAACCTATATCTTGGAAATGTGTTCCATTAGGTACAGTGAAACTTACTTCTGAGCAAAAGTTCTTGTTCTAGCCTAAGAATATTTTATTGTAAGCACCATTCAAGTTAGCAGAGTCTGCTTCCAATAAATTAGGAAACAGGTTATGTGGGTGTAAAAGTTACCCAAGTAATGTTTGTGTGTCTACTGTAGACTTTACCTAGATAGCTATGGTAGATTACTTGATTTCTAAAATAAGATAAATTAGAGGTGGTCCTTTCCCCTTCCTGCAACCACTTTACAACTAGAGTACTTTGTTTAGAAGGGTAACTGTACTTGTTCAATGAATACAATTGCTGTGAAAACCTGCTATGACCCACATCTTTTAAATATCTGTCTGTGTGTGCACCTGAGAAACCTGATTGGATTGGGGTTCTGTGATGTACTTACATGGATATTCAAAAGTGTAGATGTTATCCACCCTTACATGTCTGCAGAGACCAAAGCTGGTAGTACATTCAGCAGTAATTTCTGTTGTAAAGTGTGGAGTCTCCTTGAGTCCCATTTGCCAGGATCCAAAGAGCTCTGAAATCAGTTACATGTGTTTGAGGGGAATTTGAACTTTTGGTTCTTGCACTCCAGCCCCTACTTAGACCCCATGCAGTTTGGCAAGTTTATAGTGAAACCGAGGAAAATTTTAAAAGTGGTTTATGATACAGCATGGCAGTCTGCTGTTCAAACTTTTAAAAAGATCTAAATCCCTTGGTTTGCCTAGAATATTGTTTGGATCCCAGGCCTGTTTCAAAGCAGAAACAGGGCTCTTGTGTGAGCAAGGTGTGGTTTGACCAAGGTGTTAAGAATTTTTTGTTATAAAAGACTGTGATTATATTGGAGTTGGTTCAGATGTTGCAAAAGAGATGTACGCTGATTATGTGGCCACTGCTTCTAAACATCCTGTATGGTAGCACTGATGAAATAAGAGTTGGTCATCCAGGGGTATCAGCCCTTTACTGCACTGAGACATACCCTCTCCTTTGCCCATATTTGTGCTAGTTCATATGAATCTGCTCTTAGCTGTCCCACTGGCTTCCATTAGTTCTCCAGTTTTGAGCGTGGGCTAAAGGCCCATATCCATTCAATATACTGGTAATTTATCTTCAGATAAAGTTATGGATTACTCGTGTGCTATCTAGCTATCACATAGCTAGCTTATTATTACAGTGTTTTTACAATGCTAAAACAGTGTAACAAACCAGTTGGGCTGCTACATTTTCTTTTATGTGATAAAACTAGCTATATGTAGTTTTCAGTGATTAAAGTAATCACTGTTTTTATATTGCTGTAAAGATTTATGTTGCTGAGAATCATTCTTAAAACTATCAAACTGTAGTTTGGATGATTTTCAAGCAAATAACTGCTGTCTCCACATTCTTGTGTTAGTTTTTCATTATGCTGAAGTAGATTTGAAGTGCACGATTTGTGTATGTATAGTTAAACCAACCAATTTTGCTTGCTGTGGGACCTAGCAAAATCTACATCACAAATTTTGACACATTACAGCTGAAGGAAGAGGAACACCTCATCAGACAAGAATCTTAAACTTCGTGGAAAGAGGCTTGTCCAGCAGTTTGCTTCTTGTGATCGAACAGAGCCTGTAAAGATTCATGGATAAAATGAACAGGAATAGATCTGAATAAGGCAAATCTGCATACATGGTAACCAGTAGCTCTCTTACCTTTTTATGTTGCTTAGCTGTTTTATTTGAAGGAACCTGTGTGATTTAAAACATATAGCTTTTTGCAACTTTATTACTGGTTATATACATTTGACAATTAAAATGTGCAAGCAATTGGAAAAAGTCAAGTAAAAGCTTGTTTTTATAGTAGTTGGTTCTTGTTTAAATGTTACAATGATGTCTGTAAAGAGCACCAATTTGATTACAATAGATGTAGTGTTGTAATAAACTGTTTAATGGGGCTGATGTGTAAAGCTGTTCAAGTTATTTGATGTTTACACCTCAGGGAGCGTCTTGTGTTCAGCAATATTTAATGGTGTTAAAAATGTCTCTTAACAAACCATTGCATTTTTTCTTTTTGCATATGCATCAACTTAATTGTATTTGGTGAATGAATAGCAGTTGTGTCCAACACTTGATGTTGATACTAGAATAGTGGTTACATCATCAATATGTAGGCTTTTTAAAAATAAATTGCTTGTGAATTTGCTGAAAGGTGTGTAAAACTGTAAAAACTGTAGATTAACATTCTATGATCTAAGTAGACTAAATTTTTTTCTGAAATGATGAAATCTGAATATGAATTTTAGTGTACTGAAGCGTGTCTTTGCAATATGAAACACTAAATGCCATAATTTATTAAAACATGAAATTGGAAAAATAATTGGCCACTTTTCAAATGTTACTGCAGTGATTTACAGTTTTTAGCGCTAATGTTATAACCTGCTTCCAGAGCCCTAGGCAGTTTGTACATTAGATGTATGACAGTTAAAAATGACTGAAAATATGTTTCCCTTTAAAAAAAAATCTGTATTTCAAATAGGCCTTTTTAAGCAACAGAATTGACTCATGTAAGGAGAGGAAGCACATATACATTCTTTGTATAACTATGATAGTAATTTGCCTTAACAAATAGATGGAGATTGCAATTCACAAACTAAAGAAAGTAGATTTTACACATAGGTTGGATAAATACATTGCTTGCTTTGTAGATAAATATCCTTTTAAAAAACAGAATTTTCCAGGTTTCACTAGTATCTCCATAGTTTGTATTTATTTCAATACTATTATGATTTTTAAAGTTCAAGCAATCAATTCCTCAGTTCTTGTATATATGACCATTGAATTAGTGGTAAAAGTTTATATAAAGCATTATGGGAGCAATAATGCTTTATATATTGCCTCTCAGACTGGGGAGGGGCCATAGGATTATTCAGAGTCCCAGTTCAAGTCCTGTGACTTTCATCCTAGCATTCTGAAGGCTGAGCTCCACCCCATTCATAGCTGACATGGAAAGAACTAGGCTGGCTGCCTCTCCCAGGTTGGACATTGACCCTGGAGAGGAGGGAAAAAGGGTGCGTTGGAGACATGGAGAGAAGAGACTGGGACAAGGTTTCCCTCCATAGGGCTTCATCTAGACAGTCAAAAACAGCCATCTAAACTTAATACCAGGGGCTGTGTTTGTGAAGATCACTACCACTGTACCTTGTGCCCTGCACTGTGCGCACAGAAGCTTCTGAGTTTAGAGGCTTATGTGCATTGAGATGGGCACAACAGGATTGTGCTATATGATATGTAATAGTCAATTCTGTCACTTGAAATATAAATTTAGTCAGTCGAAATTAAATGAAGACCGCCTTTTACAGCATTGAACTTGAGCTTACCACCAAGTGTATACTGACAGGGAACCATGACCCATCCTGGCTTTATAGTTAGTGCGTTTCTATAAAGTGTTTCAAAAGTAAGTTTGTTGTATTTACTCCTATTTAGGTCTACATATGAAACAAAAGTATAGAACTAGCACATTAAAAAGCTCTTGTGCAACAATTGTATGCAGTTACTGGCAATTAAGTTATGCTGAACTTTGTAGGGTTAGTTCTGAATAGACTTGCATAACATTGGGCTATTAGGCTTAGCTCTGTTCAGGTATTCTAAACTTGAATAAGGTAAACACACAAGGGGAGGGAGTGTTTCCACCCCTCTCAAATCCCTTGTTTTGTCACCTTCTAATGGAGGGCAGCTGTCTAAAGAGGAAAACTTCCTCTATCATGGACTTGCTCTGAATGAGCCAAAATGCTCATTCAGAGTATTTTGGCTTACGTGGAGAACCCCATGATTTGATGGGGTTTTGTAGCTTCAGATTGACACCTGCCATGAACAAAGAGTGACATATGTTAAAAGAGAAAGAGATAGGGCTGGAGGACTCCTTCCCTTCTTGTGTCTATCATGTTCAGATTTAAAGCATGTAATCTGGGTTTTAATGTTTTTCTAATCATGGAAGCATTCAAATTACTGCGTTGGGTCCGGTGAGATCAGTGGGACCCAAGAGTAGTTTAAGGCCAATTGACTTCAGTGAGTCTGCTCTAAGCATGAATGAAACTGCAACCAGCCCATTTTCTGAAATGGCTGCACTGAGTAAAGAATTAACTTGTTATTTCTGACCAATATATCTTGAATTGTGTGTAATTGAAGTTGTGTGGGTGTGTCAACAAACTTTTTGTGGTGAATGTTAATGACTAATATAAAAGGTGCCTCTTTAATTTTTGTACACTGAAAGTTCTCTCATGATCCATTCCTTCTTTGTTAATAGGTTTTGTTGATCTACCACATTACTTTTGTGAACTTCTTAACATTACTTATGTGAAGTTTTTTTTATCTCCTTTGAGAATATTACCTTGGATTATTTTACACAGTTGGGTATTGTAAGGATGGTAATTCCAAAATTCACTTTTGCCTCTGACATTATATATTGAATGTGAGGTCCAGACATGGAAGTGAATTGAAGCGAAATAACAAGACTTTTGGGTTCTTATGAGTTTTTCACTCTGGAATAAGTGATCATGTAAACATTGGGGTTATTTCTTGTGTAGAGATTAATAGGATTGCAGAGTTTCCTAAAAGAAAATAATGTGTTAATAATTCAAGATAATCAGGAAATGAGATATTGCTGATGAACTTCAGAATAGCTTGTTTATGTTAGATGGTAATCCCAATCCTAAGAAGTTCAGTGTAGTGTTGCTTTTAATAAGTTGGGGTGTGGGCAAGGCATCTGGATTCAATTGTACTGGAAATAACAAGAGTTGAAGGAGCTGCAGGTAAGTTAGATGTGCATATGGATAACATTTTATTTCAAATATTCAGTTACCAAAATGGAATTAATTTTAAACCATAATTTAACTTTGTGTAGTTTACAGTTTACCACTGAACAGTGGATATATTGTTGTGTATGAATTGTCTTACATTTTCTCCTCAAGATTTCCATTGCTGGCAATGGTTCTGCCAAAAATCAGAATACAAATGATTTTTGATAACTTTTTGATATGTGTAGGCTGAACATTTCTAACTAGTGGGGTACTGATTAGTCTGAATAGTTGTCTTGTACATTTTATCAAATGAGAATTTTTCCATTTTTCTCAAAACAGTTTTTTAAAGAAGTCCAAAGATACTTAGACAAAGGAAGTGAAGGCATTCCGTTTGTGTTAAGCTCTAGAAAGAAACCTGTATATTATTTTCCAGTAAATAAAGTTGAGTTTGCTTAGGAGATTATATAATGTATACCCACCAGATAATAACTAAAATCTGAGTAGCATATGGGCTGCTACTATAGTGGGAGTTGGAGACTATATGTAATCTGCTTCTGCTACAGAAATGTAAATAACCAGCAGGAAGGTTCTTGATGTTCTGTATATAAGTTTTCATAGATAAATTTGTTAGCATTTTATGGCCTCTTCCAGAAAACCATTACCTAGTTTCTTGATTAGTGCCCTGATCCTGAATATTTGTACTGACACCTGACTGCCACACCCCTGTAACATAGTTTATAATGTTGTGTACAGTTGTAGAAGTTGTTACTTCTGACACCAACCATAGATGAAGCTGGTGCAGCAAATTAAGTAGGTTCCATTGTCCTGAGATGCTAATAGTAATACTTGGACAGCTTCTGAAGAAAATATTTTTAGGCAAAGCAGTTTCAAATCAAGTGCTGAAAAAACATGTACGGCCTTTTATTGATTTTTTTAAAAATATTGCACTAATAACTTAAATCAGATGTCAGACCTGGTAGCCTGCTAAGCAAACATTGCAGTAGGCATAATGATGCATGGTATTTATGTTTAGTGTTCTGAGCAATTTTGAGAGGGAACATCCTGATTAGAATGTGTGTTAAGAATACTTTTGATCATTCTCAGTTTGTGTTTAGTTGCATATTTGAGTCTTGTTTTCCCATCAATATGAATTGCAGGTTTTTAATGTATGTATTGCCTTTAGTTTAAACTAAACTTGTAAATATTGGGCAATGTTTCATTTCTCAGTCATGTACAGTTCAAGACACTTCCCAAGTTTTATATATAGGATTTTGCTAGTAACATTGTTTACTTGTTTGGTGCAGAATTATGTGGAGACATACAGCCTTAAAATGCAGCTTTTAATGTTACAGCATTAAATATCCTCGTAAAATATACACCACTACTATTTCAACTGTTTGTCAAATCATTTTTTTTAAAGTTGAAAGAATTTCATAGAAAAAATGTGGCGTTCTTTGAAAATAAGAACAATCATCTGCTTTGAGGAGAGAGGAAGCAACAGCAAGGATTGATTTAACAATTACACAGCTAATTTAAGAGCAAGTTATCTTTAAAAGCATGCTAGGAATATATTGAGCTTTAGTGCTCCTTACAGTATACATGCATGTGGACAGGTATGAGAAATCATTAATATATGTTCTTTTCCCATCTAATCTCAAGTTGTTTTCTCTTTGCTCTTACAAATTCTTAGCTTAAATTTAAGGAAGTCATTGTGCTCATATTAACAAATATAATTTGTAGTCTTCTTAAATGACTGAATAGTTTCTTCAACCAAAATAGCTTGATCCAGATGACAGCCTTGACTATATAATTGTCATCATGCTTTTTGATGGATTAGATTCTGAGAACATCAAGCCGAATTCCACTCAATTAACAGTTTTCCTAGCTTTTCCCTCCCACTATAGCCCCTTGTGCCTTCCCCTGATGTCACTTTTGAGAACTTATGGACCTTGTCATACCACACTGTTTGAAGGTCCATCAATCCTCAGATGTGACTTTTGAGGGACACTGGAGGGTGCATCAGAATGAGGAAATTAGAGGAATGTGGGGCTGCCTTATGTGAGCTGTAGTATTTCTCTGCAAATTCAAGGCATCTGTTTTTAATCCCTTTAGGGTTTAGGTTGGGGGTGGATGACTAGTGATTTTCAGAAGTTTTCTATTTTCATAAGTCCTTAGTGGAGTTGAGGCTGAAACTTCTGAAAGACAACATTTTTCCCACATGATACTCTACTGATATAGTTCCTCTTAGATGATAAATTTGAATACAAAGGCACATCCATATTCTTTTTTGCTGTAATGGAAGATGATCTAGTGCTAGGGGTTTGGTTCAGTTTTGATATATTTTCTACTTAAATAATCATACATCAAATAATAGGTAACTTTCTCACACCAAATTTGACTCAGTTTTTCACTCTTGTAATTGTAATTCATGTTAGCACAATTTTCCAAACCTGTGTCTGAAATAGTGAGCTAAGTCACTGCTGACTAACTTGCTGTACACAAACAGCTACGAATCCCTTGCCTAGGTCAGACTGTTGCCTAACATGGAAGCTCAGCTGTGAATGTGGGGGAGGGTTTGCGGCTGTTGTTGGGTTAAGCCAGAGCCAAATGCGAACAGTTTGTAGCATTGCACAGCTCTTTTAATCGCATTTCTTACTTTTGGCTTGTGTGCACTCTCTCTTATCTCCCCCCACCCCCCAAACACACATGAAGAAGCAATTCTAAGAGGGCTGGCATTTGGAAAAAAGTGTGATCCTACAATGCCCAGAAATGTAGAAGATGTTGAGGGCAGCATTCAATTAGGCCAAGGGCTGCAGGTTACCCACTGAATTATATGGTAATTATTCTTGGAATTAATGTCTGATCAAATGCTACAGCACTGATTAAGAGCATTGTTGCTATATCGATGCATTCTGCATTGGTAGGTGCAGCACAATTTAGAGATATTTTTAGAGATAAATTTAATGCAACAGACTAAATTTACTTACTGAAATTGGTTACATTTAACATTAAAAGATATAAAATCTATTTTTGTTAGGGTTTTTTCAGTGTATACTGAAACTACTTCCCCAGGTTCATGTGATCTTGTCTTGGGTATTGCTACATTATATTTTGCTTAAATATGTACATGAAGATAACAGCATTTTGTATACCCTGAGCACAGTTGCTGCATTACAGGTTTTAAATATATTGTGTGACCAACCCAGTTTTTTTTAACGGGCTTTCTAATACCTGACAGCATAAAGAGCACCGTGATAGTGTTGGCTTTTTAAACACTTAAATGTCTTCGCAAGGTAAGAGGGTGTCCTTTCATATTTACATACTTTAATGGCCAAATCTGTCTAAACTTGGTTTGTCAAAACTTCTTTCCCTTTGGTACCTTTTACTTCTTTGATTATATTAATTACCTTTTTTCCAGTCTTTTTAGGTAGCTGTTAGGGATTTGCTATCCAACAATTTGTTGGTCTTTAATCTGCAAAAGTTAACCTTATATTGGAGAAAAATAAAGTGCATTTTTATGAAAGCTTATGTTTGCCTTGTATTCTTTGTTGCCGTATGGCTTTTTTGAAGTTAAGATGTATATTGTCAATTATTAGGTGTAGTGAAACAAGAAGTTGTTCTTACTTGAAAAGTGATAGATATAAAATTTAAAGGCTAACACTTGGTTGTATTTCTCAGTGTTGCTGTGTGACAGCATCAGGCATTGCCTCTCTTCTGTGTATACACCTGGTCCTCTGGGGTTTTGCTTGCCACTATTTTGGGATTCCATTCACTATTGGCTCGAACAGTGAGAGGAATTCAGTTTCATTACAATTCTGAAATTAAATATCCTTCAGTGACTACCCAATAGCCTTTGTTCCCTTTTAGAGACAAAATATCCTCTCTTGATTACTTGAGCTTTGTGGCATCCCATTTATTTTCAAAAGCTGGTATAAATTATGTCTTTTTCATCATCCATTTTCTGGTCCTTTTCCACATAAGAATGGTTACAAGAATATCTGACAAGATCTTATCTGCCTGCTGTGACTCTTATCATATAAATGACAGAATGAGAATACCTAAGCTGTTCATTTACCCATAGGTACACAACAGTGAAACATTTTTCTCAGAACTTTAATCTGTACTCTGAGATGGGGGAAGTTAATCCTGCAGGTTAAGTATCAAGTTAGACTGGACAGATGGAAGATTATTTCTGATACATAGAAGAGCAAATGGAATAAAACTTAAATGATTGTTAGCTACTTGGGGGTAGGGATGTTGCTTTTAATGACTAAAAGGTAAGCTATACATTTATTCATAAGGTTTTTGTAAGTACCCAATTAAGACGTGCAAACAACCACTTTAACCTCTTGTAAGAATTGTCTCCAGGCTACTAGTGAGGGTAGTGGTAGAAGACAAGTAATATATTTTGTTTTCTTTTTAAGGCTAGTTGAATTCTTTTACCTTAAATTGAAAATCTTTCTAGACCTGATTAGCATAATCTTTGTTAGCTGCTGTTCTAATTTTTGCCTAAGAGAAATGGCAAACTAAACAAGGGAAGATAATACTATATGTGCAGCTAACACAACAACTGATGATAAATTCCTTACCTATCCAGTCATATATTTTTGGTTTTAGCACCTAGTCTGCCTCCGACAATGTTGGTGAAATAGTTTATAATAAAGTTGGATATGCACAGCCTCTCGGAATGTATTATGTATCAACTGTAGGAATTATTTTCCTGCATTCAGACTAGCTTTTATAGAAGCAAACATGAAATCTTGCTTGGTATCTGATAACAGAGGCAGCTACCTTGGAGAGAGGAGGTACTGGCATGCAGTGGGAACTTCTAGGGTTCACAGAAGTATGACAAATCTTGGGGTCAGGGGAGTCAGCTGTCCCATTGCAACCCAATGACAACTGAGTATGCATTGGCCATAAAAATTTAAATGGGTAATAGAGTGAAATGGAGTATCCTGGTAGAGGGGCATAGCTAACAAATACTGAATGGGAGTGCACCACACTGCAATATTTTGTTGTAGCTATCCCAAAGCTCTGTTACTTTACCTTTCCATCCAGTTAGGAAGTATCAAAGCCTTAAAATAATTAATTTGAATGTTATTGCAGCACAACTCAACACTTCAGGTTATTTTATTTCACTACATTTCTATATCACCTATCGGCCAAAGTTCTTTGAGCAGTTCACAAAATAAAACTATGAGAAATAATACATACTGTAGAAAGCTGCATAGGGTAGCTATACTGTCTTTAAACAGAAGAAACCTTGAAGAATTACATTTTGTGGATGTGATTGAAAGCACTTGCAAACTACAAGTGCTTTCCCCTTAAGCAAAATGTACAGTTTGGTATTTAAATAGCAAATAGAGTGACTTTGAGGTTGAGACAAGATGAAGTAAATGGACAATAGTGTAAATTGTTCAAGTCAAACTTGCAAATGAAATTATCAGGAGTATATCGTGAGAAAATACTATACTGCACTTGAAATGCTTGATTAAAGTGAAGATAGCCTCGTCTTATAACTGGTAGCCATAAGGAAAAGGGAAATTGCTTTCTTATGGGATAGCATACTATCCATAGCCGCCTAGGAAAAAAGAGCTGCCAGTAAGGGACACTATAATCCTATGATTGGATTATAGAGTTTATAGAATATAGATTATAGGTGAATTTCTACTCTGCCTTTCGTCCAAGCAATTCGGACGAAAACAAGATTTTTCTCTTGTCCGTATTTTAATCACAAACCTAGATAAATTAGGCTGAAATAGTATCAGTAAACCTGGTGAACTAGGATTCGAAAGCGGGACTCTCTGCCGGCGGCTATTGTACTCCCGAAATACACCCCCACGTTGAGCTTAGGGTCAAGTTTAAGTGCAAAAGCTTGCATCCTTCAGTCGGCCGAGTGCGTATGTGTTCCGTTAAGGAAGTCAGTGGAAGGTAGTACTAAAGCCTTGGGCTGCATGCAAAAGTACGACTGGGGAACGAAGGTGGCGTGACAACCAAGCCTAAACTCGGAGGCCTCACTAAACTGTTCTCCACAGGATTACAATAGTAATCTTTTTATTCAAACCACCAAGTGCAGGGTACGCAAATTAGACTTCGCCGTCTGCAGTCAACACTTCCCTCAGAAACTGGCAATTAACGACCCGCCTTTTCACCTCCGGGTCACGAGACCGTGAGAAACCACATGATGCGGATCAACTCTCTTCTGTGGTGAAGCTGGAAAGCGCCAAGCCTAGAGCGGGCTAATTGAGTTCTCCTCACCGGAAGCTGTTGGACGCGGACTGGCCAGGGCGGGGTGATGGGCGCCGCGGCACAGCGAGAGGGAGGGTGGCCGTAAGGAGCGGATCCGCTGGCAGGCTGTCCTTTCCCCCGGCGGCTCCCGAGTCGAGCGGGGCGGATGGAGGAATCCTTGCCCTAGCTCGGCCTTGCTGCTCTAGAGCGGCGCGAGGAGCCTTTCCTTCCGGTGCAATATGTTCAAGAGAATGGCTGAGTTCGGGCCTGACTCGGGGGGGAGAGTAAAGGTGCGGGATCCGTTGGGCCCGGCCGCGGAGCGGGTGGCGGGCCGGGGAGAGAGCGCGCGCGCGCCCGCGCGGTGGAGGGGCGGGGCTTGCCATGCTGCGCGCAGTGCCGCTGCTTCGTGCCGCCTTCGTAAGGGTAGCGCGCGCGCCAGGGGTACGCCGAAGTTTTCTTCTGGGGCGGAGGACGGTTCCGCAGGTGGAACCGTTTTTGGGCGGTAAACGGCTTTTTCGGCGGAACCGTTTTTCGGCACCTGCATTAGACGCATCTGCATCATGCTTAGATTATGCTTCTTTGCACACTAGTTTGATGCTAAGCCCCCTGACCTCGATGGGATAGGGCCATGCTACTAGTTCGTATGTTAATCTCCAGTGTCAGAGGCACTTTACTCGCCAGCTGCTGAGGAACATGAGCGGGAGGTCGCTGTTACGGTCGTATCTTGTTTATGGGTTTCCTGCAGCTGGTTGGCTGCTGTGGGGAGGAAGATGGGCTAGCTGGATCCTTGGTCTGATGAACCAGCATGGCTTCTTCTGTAACTCTGGAACCCATTATTTTTGATTCATTAAATGTCTGTCCTCCTTCCATCAGGAATCTGGAGGCAAGTTCTATTTACAGTCCCAACCAGGTGCATTCCAGGCATTGAATTGACCAAGTAACTTAACAGTAACTTGATGCCTGTTATTCAATGGACAGGGTGTTCTTGCTTTTACGAATAGGTATTTTAACTTTTTGGTGAATTTTGGAAAATGTACTCTAATGAGAATTTAGAGGAAAAAATAAACACTTAAGGTTTGTATTCAGGCTTAGAAATATGTACTTCAATCCCACCCTTTGAAATCAATAGGATAGGTTAGTTATGACTAACTTAAGCCCCATGATTTCATTGCATCTATATGATGGAGCCTGGAACCAGAGTCAACACCAACAGGTTGGCCACTTTCAAACTTGGAAGAAGCAAAGAATGTAGTCTGATGACCAGGGGGTGGGGGCATAGGATAGATTAGACTCCCAGCTCCAACTGTGGAGGGCTCACCCTTCCCCCTTTCAACCAGTGCAATGTTTTCTGCACCAGCTGAGGCTTGGAAGCAAGAAGAGTAGCTTTGGAGCCTGTGTGGAGAGGTATTCCAGGGGTTAAGGAGGGAACGAATGAGGCACTGCTAAGAATCCTCCAAAGCAGGGGTCCTCAAACTTTCTCAACAGGAGGCCAGTTGAAAGGTGCCGGCGATGGGCGCGGGCTGGGCTGGGGGCATGCACAGGCATGCACATGCTGGGCAAGGCAGAGACAGACACGCGCGGAGATAGTTTTGGACTCGCTCAGAGAAAACTCTCTCTGCACGCATTGCCTTGCTCGCAAGGAGATCCTTTTCTCTGAGCGAGTCCAAAATGATCTCTGCCCGAGCAAGCCACCGCTTCGTCATGCACATGTGCGTGTGCACAGCAGGTCCAAAACTTCTATGGCGGACTGGATAAATGGGCATGGTGGGCCGGATCCAGTCCACAGGCTGTAGTTTGAGGACCCATGCTCCAAAGAATCTCGGTGAAGGCTCACTGAGACTTTTAGATAGCCTAAATGGAGGGAGAGGGGAGTGTGTTGGCAACCTTGCTCTCCATCTGTGACTCACCTTTCATTGAATGTCCATAATCCTCTGAGTTCAGAGGGTTACAAGTAGAGACATCTGTGGTACCCAAAAAGATTCAGTATTTTAAGCATATAAAAACCAATGAGAGAAGGCTCTTGAAAATAACAAACACAACTTATTATTGCAAACTTATAATAATTGAAATTGCAGTAGGATTTCCAAGCTTTTCTTACATATAACATTGACTTTTTAGGATATTTTAGTATGCATTTAACTTTCCTTACACTCTTAGTACTGAAGAAGGAAACCACTTTGACTCAGGGTTTTCATTTCCTTCATAAATACAGTGGCACACCCCACCCCTGTATATGCACACTGGTTTCAAGCTGCTCAGCGGATGCCTGAAACTGTGGATAATAGCAAACATTATGCAATATACTATACAATAGCAACTGGGTGCTGGTGAGCAGTGACCCACAAAATAAACTCAAACGATATACATTTCTTTTCCCAACTTTTGTTCATTCTTACCTCAGTATTTTAAGACTTCCTTTGGAACTTTACAACTTCTCTTTTGTGCTGAAGTGAATTGCAGTTATGCTTGTCCTGCTGTATTTGCATATGTGGGTGCATATTGGGGCAGGGGCAGAATGTAATGGAATAAAATAATCAGATTTAATGCAAATGCTGGAAAATTTGCTCATTTAAAAAGCAACTCTTTTCTGGGGGAAAATTGTCTTTTCTCTTGCTTGCTTGAAGGGAGTAACTATTGTGAAACCTATAGTTTATGGGAATGTCGCACGCTATTTTGGGAAGAAACGTGAAGAAGATGGACACACACATCAGTGGACTGTTTATGTTAAGCCTTATAGAAATGAGGTAGGTAAAATTATTCTTAAAAATAGTATATTGTATAGTATAAATAGTATAAAATAAAATGCACAGACATGCACCTTGTTTTGTGCCCTACCCCGAATGCTTATGGTGTTCAAAATATATAGCTAGTTTAAGTACATGTGCAGCATCCAAATTTAGAAACTCTTTCTACCGTAGAGTAAGCAAACGGGTGATTGTATAGGAAAAAGTTATGGGGGACTTGGAAAGATTATGATTTAAAGAAAATTGGTTGGAATCTGAGATACCTTGGGGAACAGTTGACTACCAGGTAAATATTTTCAGTATTATATGCTTATATCAGAAAGTTTATCAGGGAAAAAAATCATATTAACGATCACACAACTGGTTTATTATGTTGCAAGAGAGAACAGATTAAACAGCTAATATGCTGTAAACAAACTTGTGGTAGGCTGTGAGATAAGGGGACCAGGAAATAATGAAATTAAATTATATAAAGTATATCACTGACTTTGTAATTAATTGTTGGCTACATTTGTTCTAGGACATGTCTGCTTATGTAAAGAAAATCCAGTTTAAGTTGCATGAAAGCTATGGTAATCCACTGAGAGGTATGGTTTAAATTGTTTAATTAGGTACAACACTTTCACAACTTTTTAAAGATCATGAGGCTTACATTCCTTTTTTTTGTTGCTGTTTTAGTTGTAACTAAACCACCATATGAAATCACTGAAACAGGTTGGGGTGAATTTGAAATCATCATCAAGATATTCTTTATTGATCCTAATGAAAGACCTGTAAGTATACTTCTGGTCTAGCAAATACCTTCTTTTATGTCTGATTGCACTGAAAAAAACAATTTCTGATATTAACTACAGCAGATCAACTATCATAATGTTCTACCTTTGTCTTTAAATGCTTGTCTTGTCATGATGCAGTTTCTTCTGTAATGCTGGTTTGATGAGAGAAAATGGGCCTGCTTAAAGTACACATTTAAGCCAGTGTGAATGTTTAGCATCCCTAACTTGTCTTCTGGACATCACTAGTGTTGCGCATGCTTATCTGGTTTATATGATAGACCTTAGCTTTTGAAATACATTCCCGAGAGAGATTTTTTTGCATTGGATCTGCAGTGAATTTGAATGGAACCTTGGTCATGGAATACTCCGGCTGGCAGAAAGAAGTAGAATTTTTCTTTGCCAGTTCCTTCTTTCTACCGCAGCCCCTGCCTGTACCCCATGAAGAGCAACTCTGAAGAGTTAGGTGACTGGAACAGTGTGGGAGATGCCACTTCAGGAGGAAGGAAGAATTGCCAAAAATCACTTCCTACTTCTGCAGTATCCCTCCATGAAGGGGATGGATCATTGTTTTTGGACATGTATTTGGGAGATACTGGGTTGGTTTTGTAATTTCAAACTGAATTTGGAAATGGGAAAAGTGGAGGAGCAATATAATTAGAGGAAGTGGTTGAAGCACTATGCTTTGTCTGCACTGTTTCCCAGATTAGTATTGTGCAGTGACAAAGTACTTACTGAACCTAAAAAGTGGTGTATGTGTTAAGCACTTTGGCAATTAAGAACATTACTTGTGGTATCAATACTGGGGCTCAGGTATGATCAACTTGGAATTTTGAAAGAAAACCTTGGAAAGGCACAAAAACTTGGATCATCTGTAGTTGGAGAAAAGCTTGCAAGTTTTGTGTCTTTACAAAGTTGATCCGTGGGTAGAGCTATCCTATGATTCCCTAACTGGCCTAGGAGAGGATGTAAAGGTGGCAAGGAAGGGGGGAGAGATAGGCTGCCAGAATACAGGGTTAGGATTGGGACAGAATCTTTTGGTATCCATCCCTTCAGTATCTGCGGGCACAACTGGCAATGTTTCCCACCAGGTGCACCAGCCCAAAGAGCGGCTGCAGGACACAGAAGAAGGGCACTGCAAGCAGTTGTGCCAGGCACCAGTACGGGTGGCCTGCCTTTTTCCCTATCTGGTGGAGCAGGTAGCAGCAGTGCCAGGGGTGGAAAAGGGGTGCTGCAAGCAGCCAAGCTATGCCACATTCCTGGAACTTACCTACCCTGCAGAGCTGGTGGCAGCAGTGCCAGGTGCAGAAGAGGGGCACTTCTTACCATGGAGCTTGATTGCTTACAAGCACCCTGTGAATACTGGGCATGCTTTCCAGGAACCCAGATGCCAGGCCACTGGGCCTAAAAAAGCCAACAGACTCCCCCCCCCCCCCCCCCAAACAGATTCCTTGCACATCCCTGCACAGGGTATTCTGTTGCCACATCAGCCTTCTTTCCCTCTGTAGCACCTCAGCTAGACTTCCAAAATCTATAGGATTGCACTCTAAGGCCACAAAGCCTATCTATACTTAACTTGAGAGAAAGTTGTTTGAATTCAGTAAGGCTTACTTTTGAGTACACCTATATAGAATTGCAGTCTTGGATACTGATGAGATCAGCAAAACAATGCTGTATTTCAAATGATAGATAGTAAGGGACTTGATAGCCTTACTAAAAGAGTGTACCTCAGCATTTTGTACAGAACATAAAGGTTATTAGTACAATTCCACTGCCAGTTATCTTTAAATCACCAGTTAATTCAGTCCATTAGTTCCTGCCTAGATTTGGTAAATTCCTTGTTCTCTGAATGTTTCTTTAAGTAGTACAACTGTTGTCCTGGCATGTTGTCCTGGCAAGTTACTCAATTCCCACTGTAGTTTTTAACAGAGTAGTGTAGTTAACAGAGTTTTTGTTTCCTTCCACAGGTGACCCTATATCACTTGCTGAAACTGTTTCAGTCTGATACCAATGCAATCTTGGGGAAGAAAACAGTAGTGTCTGAATTTTATGATGAGATGGTAAGAAAATACTATGAGAAAGTTGTTCTTCTAAGCAAAGAATAGAAATTTATTACCTTTTTCTTGCAGATTTTTCAGGATCCTACTGCTATGATGCAACAACTGCTGACTACATCTCGTCAGTTAACACTTGGTGCTTATAAGCATGAAACAGAGTGTAAGTATTTAAGTGTAAACTTCTGAATACTGTATTTTAATTTTAGAGTAATTACAATTTGATCTTAAGGACACATTTTTTCTTGTATCAAGAATAAAAACCTAGATTCATAACATTACCTGAAAGTGTGCTTGTTAGGGTTATTTTCAAAAAAGAACTTTGCTTTTATTTAAGTTTATTTTACAGTATAATGGTTATCACAATAAGCTTGGAAATGTTGGCTTGGTATGCTAATAGACTTTGAAATATAGTATAAGGAAACTCCAGCCTGTAACTTCTTCCTACTCAACATGAGAAATAGTCTACTGGAAGTTCTTGTGACCAGTCTCTTAAATATAAATAGTAAATTCTAGATAATTTATGACTCTTATGCTGGAGTGAGATTTAAACAGTTGTTTTGGAATTATGTATTAGAAAAAAGTGTACCAAATACATGGAAACAAGAACACATCCAAATAGGCCGTCTCAAAGTTCAGGATTAAAAAGAGGATATAATTGATCAAATAAATGTATCTATTCTAAACGTTCAAAGGCACTTCTGAATAATGATGACTTACCATTATATTGCAAAAATTTTCCTTTCTCTTAGTTGCCAATGTAGAAGTAAAAACCCGTGAGAAGCTGGAAGCTGCAAAGAAGAAAACCAGTTTTGAGATTGCGGAACTTAAAGAAAGATTGAAAGCAAGCCGTGAAACTATTAACTGCTTGAAAAATGAAATCAGAAAACTTGAGGATGATGATCAGTCCAAAGATATATAGCATGAATTTAAAATGAAACCTATTTTGATCATGAAATTGATAAATGTATCCTCAAAGGTTTTGTAGAAACAGCTGCATATGTGAAGGGGTTGGTTTTGGTGGTTGTATGCATGTGTGAGACATCCTGTTATGTGCCATTTCACTAATCCACATTTTAAAAATAAAGATTATTTTCATAGTTTATGTTGCAATTGTCTTTCATCTTTAGTGTGCTTCTCTATTGAAACTTAAGTGGCTTTTCTCCAAAAATGTATTTGAAGGACCCTGACCAGGTTCACAAGATTGCTGCAACTCGTTGTGGCTGTGCTGCCAGTGTGCTCCTTCTTGCATATCCAAGCTGCAGCTTGTTTTGTCTCAATCACAGGAAAACCTGCGTTATGAAAGAGATCAACGACCCTTGCAGAACCATGGCTTGTTTTAGGGTTATACAAAGGTTGCTTTGCAGTTGCATAACCCATGGTTACTGGGATTGGACAGCATGCCAAGTTGCCAACTTGGAACACCCAGAATGACTGCCTGTACACAATGCTGTTTAAGTATGCAAACCGACCCAGAAACTCGCACAATTTTGTTCAAGTTGTAGTTTACTGAACCTTAATGTGAAGCAGTACCATAATATTTATTTAGTACATTTGTATAAAAGCTGTCCATTAAAGCATCATGCTTTCTGGTGTTCAGTGTTAAAAGTTCCATTTGTTCATCTGATAAGTTCATCTGTTTGATCTAGATAGTAGAAACATGTTAGTTGCATAGGTAAAGTTTATTTTGCCCTTCCTCTAGACTTACTGGATTTGTCTGATAAAACTGATTCTAAATTAAAAAATACTTTTATTTTAACCTGACAAATGACAGAACTGATCGTGACTGTTAAGTGAACTGCAGACATTAGCTATGTATTCCAATAATAAAAATATTTTGTGGGAAACTTCTTTAATACTAGAGCATGTGATTATGTACAAATAGCAAGTTCTTTTACCACAAATTCTAAGTTTAAGATTTAACTTGGGTTGATAATACTTGAATATCATTCTATTAATGTGCAATCCAGGCAGGATTGCTTGTAGCCCTCCATACTTGAAGGATTATGGGCATCCTATTCAGGACAGAATACAAGAAGCAAAGACCACCTCTGTCCTCCTGTTCTGCAAAGTGTTTAGATGGCCAATTCCAGCCATTGTGTGATGTTTCAGAAGGGGAAGGAAGTAGGCCGAGTTCCTGGGATAGCATCCTGGAATGCCAACAGAATCCCTTCCCTGAGGTTGTATGTGCAACTTGGGGGAAGCAGCCAGCATGGTTCTTTCTGCCAGCGGCAAGGCGTGCAAGGAAGGCACTCCCAAGCTCAAGAGCTCTCAGCTTGGAGCAAGTTCTCAAGAGATGGAGCTGGGACTCTGAAAAAATCTCATGGCTTTGTAAATGCTGCCTAGCTGCCATAAGGCATATGTTACCTAGCTCTAGTAAAAGATTTGAGAGCTGCACTAATGCCCTCCACAGTTTGGGATATCTGGCAAATCTCTAACATTCTATGCAGTGTAAGTAAAACAACAAAGATTCCTGCGTGCATAAGCAAACACAAGCCCATTTTAAGCAGAACATATAATACCTACTAATAACTGGGTTTCTTGAAAAGAATGATAGACTGTGTGGAAGTGCAGTTCATCTGATTATAAATTGTAGCATTTCTTGAAGAGTTAAGTTGGGAAACAATCCTAACATTGATGGCCCAAACTGGCAGCAGGGATGCGACATTTGCCAAATGGCAAAGTGCCAATTACAAGAAAAGGAATGTAGTGTTTGTGGCCCGTATGGGCCACCCTGTTGTAGCCACGGTGTATTGTATTATATTATTGTATTAATAATACAATACTGTTCTGGTTTTTGCACTGCTTTTGTAGTTGATACTGTATTTTTGTTTTACTAATATTATTGCATTTTGTATTGAAATTATTGCATTATTTTGGGTTTATTGTAAGCCACCCAGAGAGCCCTATGGGCTATGGGGCAGCATTCAAATGTAAAATAATAGTAATAGTAATAACAATAATTTTATTTTACTGAAGTGATGTTTGATCCAATTTGTAGATAAACCAAGTTAGAAAAAGCAATCAGAAGTGGGAATGAATTCAGTAGTATTGTTATTATCAACTCTGCTTACAGAAACAGTTATGCTCTGTCTTGCAACCCGTTTCTACTCTAGTGCTTATATATCCAACACCTTGCCTAAAACTAGTTAAATGAGAGCTCATTAAAATAGTAATCTTTGAAAAAATGGCCTCTTCGAGTATAATCCACATCTGCAGAAGCCATTTGTTAGACTACCTAGAGCATGTTGTTCACATATTGCACACCGAGTGGCGCTCGTGTACAGTCATTCTGCTCTTGAGTTTCTTATGACCATGAACTGAAATTTTGACAAGGAAGGTGAAAGTTTTCCCAAGGTCTTTCATAAAATGGTTTCCACAGTTAACATCTGATACATTTTAGAAACAAAAAAGTGATAATACAATACAGCCATTGGAAGGCCAAAGAAAATAAAAAGATGAAGAAAAAAATAACATGGCCGTTTCAGACTTGGCAAAAATAAAAACTGGTAGACAGGGATGAAATACTTTTGAATAGGGAATGCTATTTTAGTGCTAATGCTTATAGATTGCTATAATGTACTGCATACAAGTGATACCTGTAGGATGTTTGAGGATTAACTCTACTTTGCAAAGCCAGCAGTAATTCAAATAATGGGACCACCTACCAACATGTGGGGGTGGATCTGAACCCAAGGTAGTGATCATGATGTAGTAGCTCTCCTTGATACTCCTGTATTTGCACTTCCACACTCATCTGGGCCTTAGGAGGGACTAAACTGTGTGAGCAGCTGAAAGAGCTGCCAACATTCCCTGATACTAGCCCCATGTACTTTTTCTTGGACTTGGGGGCTAGAAACAATAGTTCAATTGTTGTAACAGGTAGGGGACAAAATAAGACAATTCTGCAGCAAAACTGAATTAAAGATTATGTCAGCTTGTAACTTGGCTTTTCATTCTGGCACTAAAATACAGTGGGTCATACTTCCAAATAACATATTTAGTAATGCTAAACTTTGCAATATCCCATAGTCTGGAGTTAGAAACTTAACTTACAGTCAGGCATATGTCAATTTTTAGACAAGGCAGTTAATTTTTGTGTGAGAGAGAATAGAATGTTTCCTTGAAAAAATAAAACTGAGTTGAACTGGAAGGAAAAGTGTGAAAATTTTGTGTTCTGTTATTCCCCTGCCCTCCTTCTTTGCTTATTCACTTAAAATTAATTGGATGAAATATTTAGTCAGTGGAGATTGTCCATACCGGAATAGAGGACAAGTAATTTAATGACTGCAGGATGTTCAAAGCTGTATTGTATGAAAGACCAGAGAAATTATGGCTGATCATTTAAATTGTTAGCTAATACTTTCAGTTGTTTTCTCTTTCATCATATTTATGGGAAGTCTAACCTACAATAAAGTATTTGGGTTTGTGTGTTCTCATACTTTGCAGGAGCAAAAATATCTCAGCTACAGTCCTAGTTTAGTCAACTTTTTCCTTGGATTGGTGAGCTGTCATTCTTCTAATTCTGAACTTCCTTCCATCCATTATGTTGCCCAAAGTTAACACCTTTCATCCTCTGCTATCTAGCTGCCACCTCTGAAAAACAAAATGCAAACCCCTCAAGTCAATGTTGGGATGCACAGGTAATTAAGAAGCCTCCTATAGCTTTCCGTAACAGCCAGTGCCTTTGAGATCAATTTAAAGAGCTAAAAGCATTATTTTTCTTCAAAGAGGGGTTCCCATATTTTTAAGTCTAGCTCTGTTCCTCCTCTGGGTATCTAGGAAAAGGAAGTAAATTTGCTGGAGAGCCAGAAGTAGCTAGAGAGAGGAGTATTATTTAATTATGTGAACATGTATACAAATGCATGCATGCATGCACTATTATAATATTATAATTTATTACATTTCTATACTGCCTGTGGTTCAAGCTCTCTGGCTAAAAGGGAAAGAGGAAATAGCTTTTTCATCAGGCCTCCCTAGTTCGCATAGCTTCCAGTTTTGAGCAAGTTTGCTCTGAAAGCACTTACCATCCATCAGTTTTTTGATGGAAGATGCTAGGATGCTCTAGGTCTAGGAAATATATGCTAGTGCATCTGAGATGGGGAAATGAGGATTCATTCTATTGCCCTATAAAGCAAAATGTATGGCTCAAATTTGGTCATGCTGACTCTCCCAGATAGGTTTGTTTCTTTCTGAAAAACAAATTAGCCAGCTTTGCTTCTGAATAATAACACATTGGATAGGAAGTGGCTACTTTAGTACTATTCCTAGTCGAAGCAAGATTAAATGTTCTGAACACCTATCATGTATGTAGAGAAATACTTTTCATAAGTTGTGGATTTTAATTTAGATACAGACACAACTGGATGTCTGAGTTATGGATTCTTCTGAACTAGAAGCAGAAAAAATGGCTTTGGGGGATCTAATGAGGAATCAGTTTTGCTACCTTTTAAGTCATTTGCTAAATAAAAGAATTACAAAAACAGCATAAACCTTTTTCCAGCACGCTATTGGAACCTTGTAGTGTTGCCCCTGCTGTCCTCACCATTACTCAAGCAAGTGATGATGGTGTTGGACTATTCTTTCCCTGGAGAGAAGCAGACACTAAGCTGATGGGGATGTCAGGACAGAGCCAATAAAACCATAGTGTGCTCCCCCTGTCACACAAAGTTCAGAAAACATAGGCCTCCTAGGAACAGTTTAATGAGGATCATATAGGAAGAATTGTGTAGGAAACTGGAGACTACGTATGAGGAAATGAGAGTTTTGATCCACAGACAGATCTTCTTTACCAGATTTCAGTAAGGAAAACACTCTTGTGGATGAGACACCTAAATAGTGGATGGAAGTTACTAAATGATAGGTGATAGGTATTGATAGGTAGGTATTGCACAGTTGTATCATCTGTTTAGGTATTATATGATTTAAAAGCCCTTATATATTTGTAAGTGGAAAAGTAGTTCTGGAGAAATGTCAAAAGACAAAGCAGGTATTTGTATTACAGTTTAGTTTCTGCTGTATTACATCTGTTCTGCACATATGCTATTTGGAATAGTCTTGTTGCTTTGGTTCTGTAGCACACAATTAATATCTAGTGTAC